GACGTGTGCTCTTCCGATCTATAATGCCTCAGTCTTCGTTGCAGTAAATGCTTGTAGTATTAAACTGGAATTTATTAGGTGTACATGAAAAACAAGTAGTTTATTTCGATGCTTTATAGTGGAAAAATAAACTAAAGGACTAAACATTAAAAAACGAATCTTGCAGTCACGCTGGCGGTGATAACTGAAGTGTGTCAATAAAGCGATTAATAATTTTTAGACTGATATTTATATAATTTAGACTATTGTTCACCCACATATTTTGTTAATTATATTCAGTATGTCGTTCTAATTTCAGAAACAAATAAAAAACAAAATGCGAAAAAATCGGTGGATTTTTCACGCTACGGATTTTCAAACTTTGATGTATCCTTGCTTCACATTTTGCCGCATTCTTGGAATATTTCCGTACAAGATTAACAATATGATTCTCGAGGCTTCAATATATCTTATCAACCGCAACTATTTGTGCTCTATGCGTTTACCATCTGATATTCTGCTATCAGATCCAGTTTTTTACTAACATCAACTTTGAAAATATATTCAAGTTACTTGAGATTATCTACGGTTTTATATTGACCAGTATCATAGGAATCGCCACGCTCGTCTTAAGTAAGCCGCGAATGCGCTTATTCCAAATTATATTGGAGATCTCTTCGGAACTGTCTCCGGAATCATATCAGAAATTGTCTGGATTAATCCACGCTAAGGACATCTTCGGTTCCTTTTATATGATCGGCGTGGTTTCTATGTTTTCTTACAAGAAACGCCTTGATGTTTTGAATGCAATGTATATAATATATATAAATCTATTAATATTTCATACGGATATGCTGTACATGAACTGCGTTTGTGTGTTAAAGGGTTGTTTCAAGGAAATCAACAACAATCTTTTACACGTGCTCATAGTAAATAATAAACCATGTGTTCTCACGATGTTTTACTACGAGAAGAGAAATCCATTCCTGATAATGAAGCTTAAGGCTCTAATGAAGAAGCATATGGCAATCAGCAACGCAGTACAAATGCTAAATATGACCTTGAGTGTGCAATTTCTTGCTTCGATAGTCATAACCTTTTTTGATGTTAGTCTTAACACGTATTTCTATCTAGTACAATGGCATGGTGAATTGGTCTTCAATTTGGATAAACAAGTTGGCGATATATACTTATTATTTATATTATATTATATTATAAAAATGGCATTTATTGTGTGGGCATGCGAAACCGGCAAGAATCAGGCTCAAGAGATTCACACTACCATTCACTATGTACTTAACAGCATCAGGGATGAGAAAATGAAAAATGAGGTAGTAAAAGTGTTATTTAATTTGTATATTTTTCTTTATAATATGTTGTATATGAGATTGTTGTTTATGCAATACGCATTCTGTGCTATATCATTTTAAACGACATTATTATCACGTCGCGTGATTTGTACGATATTGGACGTATTAAATCTTTACTCCTTCAGATGAGTTACGTCTTTCAGTCTTATATTTAATAATTTTGCGATTAATATTATAGTTGCAGTTATTTTCCTTACAAACACTACACTGCAAAATTACATTTTCCGCCATAGGTTTCAATGTGGATGCAACATTTCTCGCGACGGTAAGTAATCGATATTTTGCTTTAATTAATAAAATGTCTTTTTTTTATTTTGTTCATTTTGCTTTCAGATGGTGGGTACCATTGCCACATATATGCTAATATCGGTACAATTCCTGGTTATATCACATTCTTGCGATGAAAAATCTGCAATCAATAGTACATGAATTATATAATTCTATAAAAAAAAAGATATAGGTAATCGAAAAGAAAATATTTTTTTTATATTTATAAACAATTATTCGTATACATGTATACATATAAGTACATAAAAAATTTTCTTCCGTATATTCCACACATACACGCACGCGCACGCGCGCGCTTATATATATCATTAGAAATCAATAATAAATATTAATATTAATGATTAATAATTAACATAAAAAAAGTATTATCATAAAATTTTAAGTAAATTTTAAATATTTTATGTATTTAAATATATTGAAATGTGAGATAAAATAAATTTCTAAAAAAATATAAGTTTCGATTCATTCATTATTTCAAATACCTGAAGCAATCTAATATAATTCTTTTAAATGTGTCGTTAATTAAAATTTTTTAATATAATGCAATGTATAATTTTCTACATTAAAATAGATTAAGGCAATGTTAGAAGGATGAATTAAGAATAAAGAAGATTCATTCGTATACATTAAACACTTATGTCGACTTTTGTTTTTTTTTTAATTCAATCCGTCACTCTGAAACTATTCGGAATCAGATATATGTTTGTTAGACATTTTCGACTTCGTCCATGTGCTAATACAGTTGTAGCAGTTTTGCCGCTTGGAGCAGAGACATACTGTATTATGTCTGTTTATTTCATTAACTAAAGAAATGTATCATTTTGTTCTAATCTAAATAAATATATAAATTAATTCTAATCAAAATAATAGGTTTGCCATTACAGTACCATATAACTCAATTCATTAGCAACACATTATTTCTTTATCTCTTACTATAGAGACGTATCACCGTTTCTTAAAATACGCGCAGCACAATTTAATGGTATGTTGGACTGTTATAACAATATTATTAAAAATTTAAAAACATCTAATTATTTGGTTTATTAATATATGTTTATTATAATTAAATAGATGAGAACATTTTGTAAATACAAATTATTCTAAAATAAGTTCAAAAAACAAATATTATTAAACAAATTATACAAATATATTAAATATTTTTACTATTGTAACTTACAGTACATTCACATACGTTAGTTAGTATATGTTGAAACGTTTATAACAAAGAATATCAAATTTTGAAATCGTGATAAAATGAACAGATGTTTCTCAAACGTCCTATGTGCACAATAAAAAAATGTGCAGTATTAAATTAAAAAGTTGTTAGTGATCAATTTTTAAAGCTCATTAATCTATTTAGGTACTGTTTCGATAACTACTAATTGCTGCTTCTTATTTCGAATAATTAAATATATTATTAGTACAGAAACTATTATATTAAACGCTGCAGCTTACATATGCAGATCGAAGAGCGCCATGATTACATCATGACTAACATATAATACCATATAATACCTCCGCCTCCGTCACAATATACTCGTAGTATTAAACTAAAACTTGTATGGTGTAGACAAAACAGAAAGAATTTATTTCGATTGATGCTTTGTATAGTGTAAATATAAATTTATGGACTAAACTCAGAAAAGTGAATCTTGCAATCACGCTCCGCATTGATAATCAAAGTATGTTGATAACGTGATTAATAATTTTTAGGCTGATATTTATAAACTTTATTATTCTCTCTCTCTCTCTCTCTCTC